GGCCAGAATGAAAATACTCGCATTTGAGAAAGCATTATCTCTACATATAATAAAAGAAAGTGTCTGTGTGTGTCTTTCGTTCGCGCTGCGCGTATTCTAATAGACCCACGACTACGAAATTTGGTACATAGGTGCATCTAGACAAGAGCCAGTGCACCTCGAAGCGATTTTTCGAAATTCGAATTAGATTTTTTTTATTTTACGTTTTGTGACGAAATCGCGTCATTTTGAGACATAATGGGCTATAGGAAAGCGAGATTTTACTCTACACACTCCATTTTCACATCGTCATGAAACGTAGGCCCTTAGCTATTTTACGAACTTAAAATAAATTTCGTGTTTCAATAAATCGAGTAAATACAAATTTATTTAACAAAGGGAGCTTAACACCTTTTTAACGTGATTTTTTCTAAAAAAGTTTATTTTTAAAAATGTACAGTTTATTTTTCTTTGATTTTTGGACACGTTAAACTTTTCATCCTTGCGACTGCTTTTACAAAAAGAATTTTGGAAAAAATGATAATAATTTGTATTTTTTAAAAAAATTTAAATGAAGCTTCCGAGTACACTTCTCACATCTCACATCTTTAAAAATGTGATTTTGGCAAACAATTTTCCTGTCTTATTGTTGTTGATAGATTTTTGATGAAATCGCATCATTTTGAATAAGTTTCATTCTTTTAGAAATATGGGTTTGGCAACAATTTTTCATCGTATTTCTTATGTCGCTGTTTTTAAGAGATTGGCATATTTCATTGTCATTTTATATATATAATACATTTTTATTGATTTTTTTTTTTTTTGATAAAGTTGTTCTGCAGAGTAAAATTCTGCGCGGAATTTTATGTTTTTTGAGTTGCTTTCATGTTATTTTTTGCTTATTTCACTGTTTGTAAGATACTGAAACGTTTTGCATGATTTTTTTTCTTCAAAGGAAAGTTGGTTAAATTTTTTATTAAGATAATTAATATTTGTATTAAGGGATATAGCTTATTTCATTGTAATTTTTTTCTCTTAAAAATATAAGATAAAATATCATTAATTATACTTTGCTTTTCAGAATTTTTTGTTTTTTGTATTTTTTTACGTTATTTATTGCTTATTTCACTGTTTTTAAGATATTGCAAAGTTTTGAGTGATTGTTTTAGGAAACAAAGTCCTTAACCTCCTTTATACCATTTGAGGATTTAAGATTTTGCAAAGGGAAGTTGGTTAATTTATTTGTTAGGATAATTAATATTTGTATTAAGGAATATTGCTTATTTCATTGTAATTTTGTTATACGTAATAACTTTTTTTATGAAGTTGTTCAGCAGAGGAAAATTCTACGCAGTTTTTTAATTTAACGCTTGGTTTTTCCTTCAGCCATTTTTCCGGTACATTTAAAAGCCAGACGAAGGCTGGCAGCAAAGTTGCTAGTTTCTAATATTGCCATCTAAAGGTAAAAGAATTTTGCTTTCAGTAGAAATAAGTTAAGTATAAATACATAGAAATAAGTAGAAAGATTTAGAGAAATAAGTTAATATAAAGAAGTATTAATAATTTATGTAAAGGTTAAACGACGGATGGCAATAGGGCCAAAATCAATAACTAATTTTTTCGTTCACTAATTTGCATAGTTTTTCTGTATGCTTCAATGAATATATAATTTAATATTAAAATAAAATATTGAATGCAGAAAACTAAATTTGTAATTATACTTGTATAAAATAAGCGATGCAATATTCTTGAACGAGTAGAAAGCTGATTCAAGCAGATCGCTCCTGATTCCATTTAACTGGAGAATAAACGACAATTTTCAGCGTTGAAAGAAGTGTAACCTAATTTGCACTTTGTATTTCTTTTAAAACAACAATTCTGTAATTATATATTTGTTGTATTAAATATTATTTCAATGCATTATTTATAACTATTCTTTTAAAAGAAAGTGAAAATTTCCCGAGACTTTTGATTTGATAATCGAAATTTAAAATTTGATTTGATAATAGCCAATAGGTTGCGCAAATAACAAAATATATTTGCTTTTAATATCTCTAATGAGAAATTGAAAAATAATCAATGTAAAATGTAGTACGCAACGAGTGATGGTGTAGCACCGGGGTGCCTGCTCATAGACACTACCCCCAATCGAAAATAGGCTACTTGTAAAATGTAGTGGTGGTACTAAAATTTTTCAGTTTTTGTTTAGATGGTATGCGTTAGTCAAAAGGTTGAGAACCGCTGACGTAAGTATATATTTATTTCGCATAACATAAAAATGATTAACCTTAGAACGTTGAAATATTGTATATGGGGCTACTATAACTTCTAATTATGGACCTCTTTTTCTGTTGCTGTCAGCAGACACACAGTCAGCACCTCACCCGGCTTAAATGTCCTTGACCGTCCTTTGTTTTCGCAGTCGTTGCTCTTAGCCATGTACTTCCAATTACAGAAGTGTTTTAAATGACGAAAATATTCATATTTTGGTAATGTCAAATTTAAAAAGAATTTATTTTTTAAAAATAACGAATTCTAATATTTAATGCGATCTCCCATTTTCTGTACGTATATTTGAGAAAATTTTATAGTCGTTATGAAAAAATAAAATTAAAAGTGTGATTCCCGTACGATAAAAATTGACCGAGCTATTTAATTTCAAAATTTGCAATTTTTTATGCCATTTTTAACTTTCTTTGAGGGATCGGATGATTAAATTAGAATAATTCGAGGAAATAGTCATGTGGTACCCAGCTCGGAATTTATGTAAAGTGGGTACCACATGTGGTACCCACTTTACATAAATTATGAATACCACACCACACCACAGTCATGTGTATTCATAATTTATGTAAAGGTTAAACGACGGATGTCAATAGGGACAAATTCAATAACTAATTTTTTCGTTCACTAATTTGCATAATTTTCCTGTATTTTTATTGAATATATAATTTAATATTAAAATAAAATATTGAATACAGGAAGCTAAATTTGTGTTTATGTAAAATAAACTATGCAATGTTCTTGAATGAGTAGGAAGCTGATTCAAGCAGATCGCTCCTGATCCCATTTAACTGGAGAATAAACCACAATTTTCAGTGTTAAAAGAAGAGTAATGTAATTTTCACTTTGTATTTCTTTACAACAATTCTGTAATTCTATATGGGATGTATGAAATATTATTTCAGTGTATTATTTATAACTATTCTTTTTAAAACAACAGTGGAAATGTCCCGAGACTTTTGATTTTATATTAATTTCAGAAACTGAAAGTTTAATTCTATTATCAGTTCACTGAACTTTTTTTTCCTCTACGATAACATTTCTTTGGTTTGTGTGTCAGTATTAAAATTCTTTAAAAGAAGATCGAGATACAAAGAGAGGCTAGAATGAAATTCTTTCTCTTTTTCTGATTCAACTACGAAGTGCAATTCCTGCATAAAAGTTTGCAGCTTGAATTTCTGTAGTTTTCAACAATCAAATATAAAATTGTACTAAATCATGAAGATTTTCTGCATTTTATTACTTCATGGCATTTTCTTATGAATCAAATATATTTTGTTCCATCATAACTTTAATATATTGGGATTAGAGATTTATTTAAAAACTTTTAAGCAACGACTTTTAAATAAATAAATATTCTTTAAAAAATACGTGTGAATTCCTAGTTTACGAAAAAAAATCAAAATCTGTCATTTATATTCCATTTTTTTATCAGCTATATATTACACATTCATTAATGCAGGTTATATTATGAAAAGGATAAATTTGCTTTATTTATGAGGAATTATGCCATTTCTTCATGCAAGTTCTCGTCGATTTATGCAGTTATCATTGAAAGATTTGAACCCCGGCAAAGGCACAATTGATATCTACCGTTTCCCCTGGCTACAAAAAGCTTTCGTCTATACAGCGGTGTTTGAATTAAAATACGGTGAGCAATAACTAGCCAACACTTGAATTTGGTCGGTTAGATGTCTTGCCTCTCTCAAGCGCCCTTTAAATAAACAGAATGTAAGGAATTAGGAGTGTGTTCTAGTTAGCATTCGAAGATCCCATAGTTCGAATTTGATGAAAGCGCTGTTTATTTCTTACGTTTCTTGCTTCTTAAAATTCTAATTGTCTGTATATATGTACCCTCCAAATATGTACCTACATACATACATAAAAAGTTATGAGCATCATAACTTTTTATGTATGTCTAGAGTGTATTTCCCTTCTTTAAAACTGCTGTTTTTATCATATCATCTAAAACTTGTTAGAGTATTTTAGTTCCCTGGCGAGAATAATATTTTTATGAAACACTGAATTTTCTTTGCTCTCATGCAAAATCTCTAGAATCCTGTTTCAGGTGTTTTCGTCCGGTTTTCTGATAGTTCTGCTAGGTCTATATTACCTTTTAAATTTTTAGTGGATTCTTTCCCGTGAGCTATAAAGCTTATTTTTTACGTTAACGGGACCATATAGTCATGGTATATATTCAAGTAAAAATTAACATGAAAGCTAATCGACAGTGTCTGTCACTTCCTGCTACACATTAAGTACTAAATATTAAATCTCCATCATAGACTGAAATTCCTTGAGCTTTAGTCCTACATTGAAACGAAATTGTTTTTTTCGTTAGGTAGAAAATTGTTTCTAAATTTCGTAATGCTTCTCATAATTTTACTTAAAATTTCATAAAAGCTCCTATATTCCTATGTAATGCAGAACAATCAAAACATGATTAGGGAAATATGCGAGTATTTATAAATCCATAATGGCACTAATTGTTCTCTTTTCATTTTCGAAGCCACTGTGAAATGTTCAAATACCTATTCTCTGCAATGTATACCTATTCTCTGCAATTTGTGTTTCATTATTTTTCCCGTCCCCTAAAATGAATGGTTTGATTTAATTATGCATATCATGATGTAAAATTATTAAAATGTATGTAACAATGTAATAATACGCAATGAATATTTTTCATGTCATTTAACTCAGATTAAATGTTTTTTTAGCAAAATAAAATAATATCGCAATTCATGCAGGATATTTTATTACTTAATACTTTACATACAAAAAATTAACATTTAAAACACAGAACCTCCATTTATATCGTACCTCATTTCCTTGAATGAAAACATTTTTAATGAAATTGAACATATCCCTTACAAATGCACATAATTTAATAAGTAACTTCTATTTCCAGCATTATCAGAGAAGTTTTTAAAACTTAAGATCTCTCTGTGAACTTAAAATCTTTAATATTCATTAAATAAACATCCTTGCTTGACGAATTCGAAGTCGCGCAGCTTCCCAAATCTTTAGACCTGAAAAATGTGCACATTTTAAATATTTTTTAATTTAAAAATTTTACAAGTAAATTTACACTAGAGTATATTTAATAACGAAGATATTTGGTTGTTTGGATTAATTTCTTAGCGCTGCAATATTTTATTGAAAGAGAATTTTGATAATTAAATGTTTAACAATAAAGTTTAAAATAAATTTTAGTTCGATATGTAACAAATTAACTGTAGATTATGATAGATATAATACGCAGAAGTGAAAAGAATCATAAGCTTTCTCTAATCTCCTTAATCCTTCATGTAAGAATAATGATAAGATGATAAAAATAATTTTAAAATTAAGTGTTTAATTTAAAAAAATTAAGTCTGCACTTTATGAAAAATAAATTAATAATTTTGAAATTAATTAATAAATTATAATAAATAAATTTCAGAATATGTTCTTAAAAAAATATACTTGCGTTAATAAGAAGTTACAAATGAAATTAAGTAGAGACGTACATAATTAAAACTCTCAAGTTCCGAGATTTATTTTCAAAATAGAATTTGAATAGAAAATCAAATTTCGTATATTTTTCCAGAAAGTTTTCAAATCAAAATACGAGAGGATCAGATGGAATGCTAAATTGTCTCTAAAATCTTTAATAAATGCATTGTTAGTCAATAACAAACAGTTTTCCAATATTTAACCGTACACAAGATTCGTAGGATTCCAGGATTCTACTAATAAAACTAAAAAATTTAGACATCGTATGTTCGTAGATTATTTCTTTCCGTAAATTTATATTTCCTCCTTTTAAATTATCATGTAAAGATAATATTAGCAATATTAAGGTGAATATCAGTTTTATTCACACACATTTATAAATAATCAGTGCAAAATATATTTACTAATAATAACAAGTAATAATAAAAAGCTTAGCATAAAAAAAAATTCTACTTAAGCAGATAAAATTATTTAAATAATTTCGAAAGGCTTTAAAACACAAAATAAGTATCTCATCAGATACTTATTTTGTGTTTTAAAGGTACTTGTTCAGATACAGATCAGATACTTGTTTTGTGCTTTGAATTTTACATATCTCCATATAGAATGATTTTTAATAAACTAAAGAATCTTGCAACTACAAGTATTATGCAAAATTTCAGAGGAAAATTATTTAAGAGTGACAAATACACGTATGGTAGTCAATACATATTATACATTTGTTGTGTTAGCAAAATTAACTATTTTTGCAAAAAACACTTTTATAATAAATCTGTATGTCCTATAAAAGCTATATATGCATATATATATATATATATATATATATATATATATATAGCCATATAAATAAAGCTGTGAAATTTAATAAATTATATGTATATATATAAAATTTATTAAATCACACAGCTTAATTTAAATGCATTAAAAAGTTTAAAAAATTCCTTAGACACCATAATTTTCTTATTTATATGAGTCTAAAAATAAAATCATGGATCATACACTAGCCGTAACATGGTATTAATGGAAATTCAAGGAACAATAGAAATGATAGTTCAGAAACGATATATGCAATGGAACTTTGTTTCGTAAAAGTAAGTCGTTCCTAAAGATACCAAAGTTCCTAAAGTCACTTGAAATATTTGTAAACTGTTACAGTTTTCCCTACAGGAATTAATGTAAAACTAAATAATGCGTTCCCTTTTCCTAAATGATTGCTTAGAAAAGAATATTTTGAATGTAAATTCATAAAGCAAAAGTGAAACAAATATGAACATCAACACTTTCATCTTCTTTTGAAGACATTCGCTCCACTGCATTAATTATATTTTGGAAAGCCATTTGCTGCAGGCTTACTTGTTCGTATCTCGAGACATCGTCACCCAAGACATTTTTGTTTAAAATATTTGTGCATGAAACCGATTTGTTTGGGATCCAAAGCGTTTGTGATCTGAGTTTACATTCTATAAGAATGATTAGATTCAATTAGTTTAAATTTAGCTTTGTATAGTTTAATTTATATTAAGAACCATAACTAAAATAAATCCAGCGATTTCTTAAAAAGAACCGAATTTCAATAAATTATACAAAGATTTCCCAAAAGCTTCATTTAAAAGGCTATTTTTTAGTGAACTTGACAGTATAAAAATGAAACTTAAGAGATAATTCGCTTTACCATTAAACAGGAGTAGAACTGTTTAAATTAATTTAGAATAAAAATTATATTGAATATCAAACAATTCTTACGATTATTGCATTCTTATTGTAAATAAGTGTCCATGGAAACTGCAAAGAAAACTGGATCTCTAGAAATGGATAAAAAGTCAACGTCATGGATTGATCTTTCCTCCCCTCCAAAAAAATAAGCAGAAAAGCCGAATTAAGCAAAAGTATATAAAAGGCTTTATTTGCGAATAAAATCTTTTCAACTCGTTGTTATAAGCAGCATAATTTTAGGATTTTTTTTCTATCAAAGCAGAGCATCCGTTGATATTGTTATCAGTCTTGCTTGTCTAACAATGTTCAGCACAAGCCCACGTTAATCATCGTGGCAAGGAATCAAATGCGCCTATCGTTGGCAAGAGCCTTGAGCACCATGTAGGTAACAGCTCGACTTTAGTTCAGTTCTTGAGCACCATGTAGGTGACAGCTCGACTTTATTTCAGTTTAGTTAGTTCTGACAATGGTCAGCACAAGCCCACGATAATCATTTTGGTAAGGAATCAAATGCGCCTATCGTTGGCAAAAGCCTTGAGCACCATGTAAGTGACAGCTGGACTTAAGTTCAGTTCTTGACCACCATGTAGGTTACAGATCGACTTTAGTTCAGTTTAGTTAGTTCTAACAATGGTCAGCACAAGCCCACGATAATCATCGTGGCAAGGAGTCAAATGCGCCTATCGTTGGCAAGAGCTTTGAGCACCATGTAGGTGACAGCTTGACTTTGGTTCAGTTCCGCCCCCAATTTCAAGAGAGATCACCCCGAGAGAATGGGATAAAAGAACATCTGTGAAGACACTATGTAAATAAAGTAGAAACTAATCGTGAAATATGTATGAGTTTAGGCCGCAAAAAAAGAAAGCTTGAAAGTTTATTAGCTGAAAATGAAAGCCCGAAATGTTTAAGGTTGAGGAACCTTTGTTAGAAATACTCATGCTATACTAAGGTATTTCTCCCGCCTTCCTAGTGTGCCTTCGTGGTGTAGTGGTTCAGCACTCTGGGCCGGTATTTCCGTGGTTCGATTTCCGGCGAAGGCGATTGCTGATTTTTCATCTTGCCTACTTCCAAAATATACCTAATGTCTCTACAATGCATGCATTCCTTTTTGTTTCAAAGTATATAGTATTTCTGATATAAACGCCATATATATTCGGCTCTCTGATTTAAGATGTGCAATCTATATGGAATATTTACGAAAGTGCAGTTTGTAAAAAATACCGTTTTTTAATCATGATTTTTTCATTTGTTAAAAAGGCAGTTTTCTCCTTACCTCCTCTGTAAAACAAAAGCAATTAGGTGAAAAATTAAGGCTTAAATTATTTGATGAATAAAATTGGTTTTAAACAGAACCTGGTTTTAAAGACCTGATTATAAATTTCACGAAAAAGGCTTCATAGCAAAGGTAAAAATTATAGATTAAATTGTTTAAAGTTCTTTAATATTTAATATTTATAGACAATTAGTTGAATAACAATTTATTAATCAAGTTTATAAACGCGTTAGAGTTATTAATGATAATAGCAATGAAAAAAGCCTAGCTCAAAATATTTTTGAACATAGTTGAATTTCCCTTTAACTTAGTGCGTTATCAAAATGTGTACGCTAAAATGGAAATGTACTGGTTATTATTTCGAAAGTCCGGAGATTCAAGAACGGTTCATTAATGTTGAAATTTAATTAACTTAAGCTCGACTTTGTATATTGCGGTAGTTACAATAATAATGATAACAGTTATTAATTTGTACAATTTCGGGATAAATAATTTAAACATAAAATATAACATAAATTATTAAAAAAGTAATATTCATTTATTTAATGAAAACTAGGCACATACCATTTTTTTTCAGTAGATAAACCTTGGAACTGTGGTTTCTACAGTGAGATTAGGAACTATAAAAGTGAGAATAAGTATAAGGGCTGATTATAGATTGAGATTCATAAGCATATGTAGGGTAGCTGTCAGACTTAAAGGTGTAGAGAGGAGCAACGTTGGAAATTTGACCATGAACTTCGTGAGCACCCGACAAGTCACTAATAGCTGACCCATAGTGAGAAGTAGGGGAAAACGCTGAAGAATACCGTTGGCTGTTAAGAGTACCGACTGTAGGTGTTTCATATCCTTTTTCTGAACTAGAAAATGATGCATGCTCTGGAGCAACTAAAGATGTATGCTTACAGGCAGAAGATTTATCTTTCTGTAACTGGTATCTTTCTGTAGCTGGAATATCAGTAGATGTATGCTTAAAAGCTGAAGAAGAATGTCCTAATGTTCCAGTTTCAATACCCGTAAAGTGTTTTGAAGATTTATCATAACCACTTCCTCCAGCAGACACCAAAGAACCTGCAAAATGAGTATCTTTACCTGCATTCAAGAAGTCAGATTTAGACAGAGTTAAAAGCCCAGAAGATTTTCCAGAAGCAATGCTATCTTCTGGAACAAGAACGAAGGCTTTTTCAGAAGTAATCGATTTTTCTCCGCTTACTGGGATAGAGAAAGAGTGGCCTTGAATTGTCGATTTTCCACCTGAATAGCCTCCTGAATGAGCAGATGCAATTGTGTGCTCTGAAACAGGCGATTTATCATCAATATAACTTACTCCGGGAATTTCAGCTGGTTGAACAAGGGCAGAACTTTTATGGTAACCTGCATCAAGTTCTCCTTGAGCAGGCTTTTTAGCGAAACTTGAACTTAATGTGGAAACTTTACTTCTCTCAGCGCTATGAAACTGACCAGAGACCTGATGTGTGGATTTAGGAGATCCTGATGCAGATGAGGTAGAAAATGTTTCGAAAGCTGGAAAGGCCAGTTTATCGGCTGCATTTAAGGACACAGTACTTCCAGTTTTGGGATGAGTGGAAGGACCAACAGCACCTGAAGAATGACTTGTGGGTGTAAAATCTTTTGTGAAGGAAATTTGAGATGGACCACTTATTGCAAAGAAGCCCTGTCCGCTGCTTTTCTGGATGGCTCTTGTGCTATGAGTTTGTCCTGCAAGTACTCTGGAGTGGAAAAAAAAACATTTTGAGATCAAACGTTTTATTAATTTTAAATCAGATCAGTTTTAAAGAAAAAAATGGGAAATGTAAAACCAGATAATTTACTTGCTATGAGATGCAGATTGTGGCTTTGCGACTCCAAAAGTAGATAGCAGTGGTGCATTTTCAAAGTGACTAGAAAATCCGGGTGAAGCTGGGACATCCTTGACGAAAGTGATTTCAGTTGTTTTATGTATTTCAGAAAAACCATGCGATTTGGCGTCGTCTAAGGATTCTGAAGAATGAGACTGAACTCCTGAGGTTCTGAAATTGCAAAACATTTTATTCATTATAAAATTTCGATTTTATTTTAAATAATGACACTCAATTAGAATAAAAAGATATTAAACCTATCAAAATGTGCAGCTTCTGGTTTCAATCCAGTGAACTTTGCGAACGGAGCTACTTTTGGTCGACCAGGTTGAAGAGTTGCAGAGGCAGCTTCCTTGGTGAAAGTAATTTGCCCTTGGCCGTGCGGCGTGGAAAAGCTAGTTCTTCCAGCCTTGTAGACAGTTGTAAAGGCACCATGGGATTGTCCAGTGGTTTCACTGTTTAAATAAATATCAAAAGTTGGTTAATGATTACGACCAACTTTAATGCATTACATAAATTCAAATATTCTCACGAACGAAATTACGGCCGCCCGCCATCCGACTGCTTTAAATTTTTTCTTTCAGCTTGGTCGAAAAGAACATTCATTCTAATGGAAATGAGAGCTTTTATTTCCTTTATTATATTTTATTTCGGCAAAAATCGTTCAATTAAAATACTTTTATTTTTATTCTATTTTTTAATTTTATATAAAAATTTTAATCTTAAGAACAAAAATCGTAAATGAACTACAGAACAACCTACACACAAGGCAACTGACTTCATTCCGTTTCATATTTCAAAATAAAAACTCCTTACATGATAAGGCAGTTGATACACTTAAACGTCAAATTTGTTTAGTCTGTTTTTAGAAAAAGAGCACTATGACTAATTAATTATTAATGAAGTAAACAAAAAAACTGGAGTCCTCTGCTCAACGCTAATTCCTATTCCATTGATATGTATAGTCTACATATTTCCGAACGCTGGTCAGCCTACATAAATTATAAATGTATGCGTATTAAACTATATTCAACCAAAATTAATTTAATAGCATAGTAAAACTATGCAGTACTGTGCCATTTAAATCAGAGAAAATATTGAAAACACTTAAATAAGTTAGCACATAAATCATCCTTATGCCTCAAATAAATTATGTGTTACTTGGCCCAAAACGAAAAAAAAACTAATTCAGATAACCGGAGTTCCTGAAATTTAGAATACTTTTAACTAGATTCCTAACATACGTTTAAGTGAAAGATCTTACCTGTGAAGAGTTCCAGTTGCTGGTTTCACTGGCCCATGGGTGGATTGGTGGGTGGATGTAGACTTAAAATGCTCAGAATGTGCCAATAGTAGGAACTTCCTTGGTGAAAGAAACTTTCGCACCACCTTGGGAAGCAGCAAAACCATGTGATCCAAATTTAAGGGCAGATGCACCGTCATGAGAGTGTTCACTTACTCTAGGTAAAGTGTATTGAAGAGTAGTTAGAGTGTGCATCAAATACATTGTTGCACATCTAAAAATTCAGAATTTTAAAGTTAAGTCTCACCTGTGTTGGGCATCAGCGATTGGCTTTGCAGCATTATATGTGGAGAATTCATGATTTCGAGAATGCCCAGCAATTCCTGTATCTTTTACAAAAGGCATTGAAGCTGGACCAATAACAGAAGAGAAACCTTGATCAGCTATTCCTTGTGAACCTCCAAAAAGACTTGTATGCCCAACATTCACACTGTAACGGAAAGATTTAAAATACTATTATAAGAGTAAAACGTATAAGAAGAGTAAAAATTCCATATTGGTTGTCATAAATGTATTATTATAAATCATTTAATTTATTATCGTATTATTACTTAAATTATTATTGTATTATTATAGTTTTTGTTAGTTATTCTATGTACATTTTAGAAAAATAATATTAATCTGGAACATTTTCACAATTTAAAGAAGTAAATGTTAAGTGATAATATACATTACGTAACTGATGTTCCTCATTTCAAAACATCTGAGTATTATTGGGTTAATTAATATTACAGTATTATCTGAAAGCACTGAAAGGCCTGCTCTTGAAATAAAATGTAATAAATCATTTTAAAAATTGTGCATTTTAAAATGTAATGAAATGTTGTGTAGATAAATTATTGTTTTTAACAATCTACCGCATTGAAAATAAATTATATTTATTGCTTAATTATTTGGTAAATTTAGCATTATATAAAATCAAACTTCAACTCGAAATAATATAAATCCATAAAATAAACTTAATTCAGAATAATATAAATCCTAATGCTGCTGCCAACCTTATCACAAAAATATATATTTTCATCCTAATATTGAGCACCATAATTACTTTCTGCTTATATCTCAGTTGCGATACAGAAATTATCGTATTTTATGTCCTATTTTCTCAATTTCTTATAAATTTCTCAGTGAAATTATGTGAACTTGCTAAAGCATAATCCTGAAAAGTCAGTTATAGATACTTATCTCGGGAAACATTTGAGAGAAAATGAATTCAGTTGTTATTTTACAAGTTATATATAACTGATAACGGGTACAACAGTATTTTTTTTTAATTATAAAAGAAAAATTGGTAAACTTTCAGCGTTTGGAACATGATTTCTTATTCTTTTAAAGTAGACATTCTAAATGAAAACATTGAATGCATATAACGTGTATCTGAATAACCAAAGTATTTCCTACAACTTTCTCAGATGAAAATTAACTTTTTTTAAAAAAATTCATTCTTCTAAAATTCAGTTTATAAGAATGCACTCTATAATTAAGAGATTATCAAATGAAATAGCTCGCCATGTTATATAAATATTTTCTCATTGTGCTTGTCGAACGCTTCTGTTTTAAATTTCAATTATGAAACAGAAGTATTTTTAATTTATTACTATTTAAAATTTTTATTTTAAATTTATTTCATGTGTATTAAGCAATAATAAGAAATAAAGGAGTAATTCATTTATAACATTTTTTATTTGAAAACATTTTACAAAAGCACAAAGATGATTTTATCCTTTTTGTCCCCTTAGCCGAAAGACGAATGAGATAGGTTTGAATTCTTAGTATTTCCATTCATCAAATGATCTGCAAAAGAAAAACAAAATATATAGAAGCCTATAATATAGTAACAAAGATATGAAAAAACGTTAGCGTAAATAAGTGGAATCTCGACTATATGCAATTAATAATTTTGGGAGTTTTAAATCCACTTCGTTTAAATCAACTCAACTGAAAAATTTGAGCGTTAGATTTAGGATACTTTTAACAGAATTGCAGAAGAATTCCAATTATCCGCAATAAAGGAAAGCTTAATTATTGAAAAATTCGAATAATATAAATGTTTCCTTCTTCCTTTTGATCAACAGTTTATTTACAGCAACATAAATGACAAACTTTTGTTGATTTGTTTGCTTTATTTTATTTTAATCAAGAAAAAACAGTTTTTTAAATATTACATTTTACTCAAAAATGACACATTATCCTTAAAAACGAAAGACTTCCCCCCAAAACCTAGTAAAAGACATAAAAAATTAATTAAAGGTACTCGATTGCAGTAAGTAAAATAAAAATTGTTTGAGTAGAGAATGACATAATATCACTGCTCTAGTTTAGTCCGTTTTTAGAAAAGAAGCAAATACACTGCTCAACATTGAAAATGCAACACCAAGAAGGAGTGGTCGGACATTTATGCAAATTTTAGAGTAGACGCACGTCACTGAGTTATGCGACTGATGTGAAATGCGCAGCTCTCCGACGCACGGGAAGTAAGATATAAGGGAAGGAACGTGCAGAATGGGCAATATTCGTGTCATTATTTCTGCCAGACGAATTATCGAAGAAAGTTGGTTTTTGCCCCGGAGGATACGTCTAATAGGAGAGAATGCCAGGTAGCCATCAACAAAGGCATTTCCAGCAGATAGACGATTTTACGAGGGGTATGGTGATCGGACTGAGAAGGGCGGGTTGGTCCTTACATCAAATCGCAGCTGATACCCAAATGGATGCGAACACGGTGCATCGGCTATGGCGAACATGGTTGGAACAAGGAAATGTGGGAAGAAGGAGGGGTGCAGGCGCAGCCAGAGTGAAGTCAGCACGCGTGGATCGACGCATCCGCCCAAAAGCTGTGGCGGTCCCGCAAGTCACTTGTACCGCGATTGTGCAGCATGTGCAAGATACCGTGGACGTTCCCGTGTCGACCAGAATCATTTCCCGTCGATTGGTTGAACGTGGCCTGCACTCATGGCGTCCGTTAAGAAGACTGCCATTAACCCCACAGCATAAACGCCAACGTTTAGAATGGTGCCGGAATGGAGCAATGTGGATGACAGAATTGCGAAACGTCGTGTTCTCAGATGAGCCATGCTTCTGTTTATCCAGTGACAGTCGCTGCATACGTGTGTGGCGTCAACGTGGAGACAGATCTGATCCGGCAGTAACTGTGGAACGCCCCACCGCGCGACAACGTGGCATAATGGTTTGGTGCGCTATTGCCTATGATTCCAGGTCACCTATAGTTCGTATTCAGGGCACTATGACGGCCCAGCGATACTTGGATAATGTACTGCGGCCGGTGGAAATCAGGTGCTGCCTAATGCAATTTTTCAGCAAGATAACGCTTGACCACACAGTTCTCGCATTTGACCAACATGCTCTGCAAGGTATGGAAGATGCTTCTCTGGCCACCGTAATCTCCTGACCTGTCAAAAATCGAACATGTGTGGGATGCAATTGGACGCCGTTTGCAGACTCTGCCCCTTCCTCGTTCAGAAAACGAACTGTGGCAAATGGTTGAAAGGGAATGGAGAGCCATCCCTCAGGACACCATCCGCACTCTTATTGACTCTATGCCTAGACATGTTTCTTCGTGCATCGCTGTCTGCGGTGGTCCTACATCCTACTGAGCCGACGCCGTTCTCGCTCTGTATTCTGACTATCATTTTGAAATAAAGGTCATTTATTGCTGCTTGCTGTCTCTTTTTTTCAAATTTTATCACTTTCTGACCACTCCTTCTTGGTGTTGCCTTTTCAGTGTCCAGCAGTGTATTATGACTAAGCAATTTATCAATAAATAAAAAATAATAATTCTAAGAGAATTTGTAATTTTTTTTCCATTTATGTTCATCGGTTACACATTTATCGAATATTTTAAATCAATCTACAGGTTGATCAGCGAATAAGCACTGATTTCAAAATTAAATATCGATAAAAAAAAGATCGATAAAATTATGCGGTAAACTGTTCGTTTATTAGCAAAACTGTAAAAATTGTGTACAAAAGTTTATAAATTTTAGTTACGAAAATCGCTAACAGATGGCGCTCTAATCGCAATGACCTATCAATAGCTTTTAAAAATGTGCTTTGAATTCGAAAGTGATCAGTACGATTGTTGGCTAGTGAAAAAAGGCTAGCGTAGAAAGTGAAATAATGTATTCCATTGAACAACATGTTTTTTTTGGTTCTGGAATTTCACCGATTAGAACACACTACGGCAAAACGTCGCAGTTTTCAAAACCGATTCAATGTTGCAGTTGAACCCAATGCGAAAACCATTCGTATGCTCTTCGCGAAATTTGAACGGACTGGCAGCGTGGCTGATGATCGAAAGGGAAATGTTGGGCCTAAGCAAACTATAGTCACCCCTGAAAATGCAGTCCAAAGTTTCTGGAATTCGTTCAGCAAAATCCTAGGAAAAGCCTCCGACGGATTGCATCAGAGACGGGTTTGAAGTACAGGAGCACGCAAAAAATATTAAAAAATGGCCTACGGCTGTTCCATACAAAATCCAAGGTCATCAGGCCATACCCATGAAAGCTGTGCAACAAAGAGGTTGGCTTTGCGACTCAGATTTTAACAATGGTCGACAACCACAGATTTGATGTGAGCTGCATCTGGTTTACAGATGAGGCACATTTTCATTTGAATGGAATCCTTAATAAACACAAAACTGGAGGATTTTCGGGTACTGAAAATCCTCATTTGTGTGAAGAGAAAGCACTGCATTCGCCTAAAGTTGCTGCGGTAGGCGCCAGCGGCATTATCGGACCATTTTTCGTACGAGAAATGATAACTACTGGACGTTGCGTTACAATTTTCGAACAATTTGTCAGCACTCAACTAGCGTTGGAGGATCGACCAGGTATCGACTGGTTCATGCAAGATGGGGCTCGACCACATCGAACAGATAAAGTTTTTCGCTTTCTTCATGAATACTTTGGAAATAGAGTAATTGCGTTAGATTATCCGAAATTTACTGACACAGGAATAGCTTGGCCTCCATATTCTCCAGATCTGAGTCCTTGTGACTTCTTTCTGTGGGCCGCATTGAAAAACACTGTCTATCGAAACAATCCAGCTACTCTAGATGAGCTTGAATCGTTGTTTGGTGTTGCATGTGATTCCATTTCTGTTGAGACATTGCAAGACGTGATGTCAAATTTCATTGTTCGTTTACGCCACCTCATTGTTCCGAACCGTTTTCAGCTCAGAGTTAACGATATGTTAACGATTTTTGTAACTAAATTTTCTAAACTTTTGTACACCATACACCATTTTTACAGTTTTGCTAATGAACGTACAGTTTAAAGCATAATTCTATCGTTCTTTGTTTAATTTTGAAATCAGGGCTTATTCGCTGATCACCCTGTACATGTCTACGCTTTCCTTTAAATTAATTTAAATGCTTCTTAAAATATACGTACTGCATTTCATTATCTTTTCATATTGTGTAAATCAACGAAAAACGTAAAAACTTGAAATTAAATTTACAGTAACCTTAATCTTACTTGGTCTAAAAAATAAAAACAAGCGATGAGAATAAAGTTACAAATAAGTAGAGTTTTATTGTACGACATATCTATAAATCTAAGTAGATATACACCTAAAATGAACTTATTCCCATTCAAAACTAGAAACTGATTCAAAAACGAGGCTTCTTGATACCCGATTTTCTTTGTTGAAAATTATAAATGAACGAATGTGATGTTATCTTTACAAGTAAATAATAAATACAAAATTTTTAATCCCTATATGTAGACAGAAGTTGTTGAATATATTTTTAAATAATTAAGGTAACCATCACGTAAAATATTTTGATCTCATAAAAACAGTCTGATGTGGCCAGCATATCAGAATGTTGAACATAAAATCCCAAACATTTTACGTTTTTAAATAACAACTACCTTTAAGTAAAGTATAACTTTTGGTTGATCATTTGTAAACAAAATCTAATTTACTGTTCTTAATAAATAGAAAGATCTTCAGCACGACATTTTGGATTCTATATTATTAAGTATCATCGGTGATGTGCATAGGTGTTTTCCTAAATTTTTACCACCATAATCAAACGATTGCCGTTTTATTTATTTTTTTACTAAACTTTTATTTTGTTGGGCATTTGAACATATGATTTAATTGGTTTTAATTAAGCAAACTAAGGGCTTTTAGTACACTTAGAATAAGTACTTTGAAACGAACAGCATAATTTAAAAAGCAAATGAAAGGCTGTTGTAAAATTCATTGTCTTCTACGACTTGATATAAATAAATATCACATCTAGAAATAATATAAGTATTACTAATTATGTGCTGCAGTATTTTAGATTAAACTCTTATTTTATGATTCTGATAATATAAGTCTTCTTAATATGTGCTGCAATATTTGTCCACAAATATTGTTAAGGGTTTCAAGTAAAGTACATTCTGGTTTATCGTATGTAATCAAAAACTTTTTCAGTGATAGTGTTTTCAGTTTGATTTTTTATTCTTATTTCGAAGCATATATGATATTATGATAAGAATATCATATATGCTTCGTATATGTATACTAGAGTTTTGAATATCAAATCTGAGAATTTGTGATTATATTTTTTTAATATAGTTTTCCTAATATGTTTTTTTCTTTTTTTCTTTTTTTTTTTTAACATTTAGGAGTAGGAAAGAATTATGCACGCCAACATTGTTGGCCACTTAGCCGCAAAGCGTTTTCAGAGTGCACCACGACGAGGTGGAAGCTTCAACTAAAGTACCATGCTTATCAATTTTAGCCAATGTTCCCCTTGACATAAAAGTCTTAAATACTAAAACTGAAAACTTTCAATTACATTGTAATATGATTCTTCATTAAAAACAGTTACATGCTTCAAGTGAAGTACCATTTCCTTTGTCCAGTTTTATCCAAGATCCAATCACCTCTTTATGTAAATGCTAAAAATCTTAATACCGAAACTAGAAAATTTTTGGAAGTTTGATACAGGAGCTATCGTGGATGAAAAAATATCATATATGTACACACAGGTAAACTTCACTGTAAAAACAGTAAAAACGTGCTGTGCGAACCTTAATTTGCCCCTAATTATAAAAGTTGCCAATTGAATGCATTTGATTAACAATGCATTCCTCGAGTTAATCTAGAGAGAATTAAATGTAAGAATAAAAAATCAAATTGCGTAAGCGAAGTATTGCTGAGAGATAATGGAACAGACATAAACGAGTACTTTTAGTACAAAATTTTAATTTCCTTTTTCATTTAGCTGAAAATTAGACACGAACGGACAAAGCAAATAATAAAAAAAAAAAAAAAGAAAGAAAAGCAAAGTTTAGTCAGTGCAAAATGGATATTTGTCGCAAAACTTGTTATTACAACGATTTTTAATATCAGTGCTTAAAGCTATTATCCAGTAAGCGCTAAATAAATGACACACGCAAACAAATCTGCTAAGGTATTTTTTAGTCTGGGAAAAAATAAGTTGCCAATTCTGAAGAAATATATTTTCAAGTGTAAATGTCATTCAGAAAGTGAATGAAAAGTAGATATACATTGCATGCAAACCTCAGTTAATCATATGGTAAAAAGGTGACACGTGAATTGGCTCCATTCGTTGAAATAAAACATAATTTTTATTTTAGGAAGTTATAATTCTTTGCAATCTCCTATTCAGTAAGAGAGTTGTTTTTCGCCTCTACCATAAAGCGTCATTTTCGCTAAATGTTCAATAGTTATAAATATTCTTAAAGTTCAGTTATGTTGCTAATTAAAAAACTAACGGTTTCTTAACTTCGTATTACTTTTCTAAATCTCGTCGTTTTCATTTTAGGGTTTAAATACGTCTAGGAAATTTAATGGAATTCCAGGAAAGATTCCAGAACTGACAACAGAATAAGACTGCGCAATAGTCACGTCAAGGTTTTTAAATTCTTTAAACCTGAAAACTCTTTTTCCGATACTTTCGGGTGCATGAAAAGTAGCCTTCTTTAGATGCATACTTTCTTGCACTAAATTAGATCAAAGTTACAAACTAGTGAATTACTGAACTTACTGCAGCAACAGCAATGTAAAAATAATCAATAACAATAATAACAATTTAAATGTAAAATGAAAGAAAGTTATACTTACATTTTCCTTTTTGAATGATCGAACAGGTGCCTATTTCTTCCAGTAGCTGCTTGGGTAGGAGTGAGAATATGAGAATGGGCTGTAAACAGATGGGGAGCTGTAAGTATAGGATGGATAGCTGCTAGATGAAAAACTGTAGACTGGGGATGCCTCTGAGATGTAGCTGTAGGCTGGATAAGAACTGGAAATATAACTTTTTGCTGGAGTAGCAATGGAGGAGTGATGATCTTTCTCATAATAACTGACAGCTGGGTCAGCAACCGAAGTAACAGCAGGCTGAGCAACGATGGTGCTGACAGGCCTGCTGATGTAAGTTGTGGTATGTTGTTTGGGAGCTTCAGCTACGTACTGGTATTTGGGTTGGGCAACGACAGTGCTAACAGGCCTGCTGATGTAAGTAGTAGTATGTTGTTTAGGAGTTTCAGCCACGTACTGGTATTTAGGTTGGGCAACGACAGTGCTGACAGGCCTGCTGATGTAAGTAGTGGTATGTTGTTTAGGAGTTTCAGCCACGTACTGGTATTTAGGCTGGGCAACGACAGTGCTGACAGGCCTGCTGATGTAAGTACTGGTATGCTGTTTGGGAGCTTCAGCCACGTACTGGTATTTGGGCTGAGTGATGACAGTACTGACTGGTTCGACTTCTGTATAAAAAGCAGAATGGGTATCTTGTTTATGGGCAGCAACTGGTAAAGAAGCTACTCCCTCAGATGCAACATACGTAGTTGCGGGTGCAACATATGAGGCTTTGGGGGCAGTATACTTTTCAAAATGTGTAACTGCGGGTTTTACTTCAGTATATGTTGCAGCGGGCTTCGAGACAAACGAGACTGCTGGCTCAACGTATTTTTCAAAATGTGTAGTTGTGGGTTTAACAGCAGCGTATGTAGCAACAGGCTTGGAGACAACTGACACTTCTGGTTCAACGTACTTTTCATAGCTGGTAATTTCAGGTTGGACTGCATAAGTAGTAACGGCGGGCTTCTTGTAGGAAGAGTAGCTAGATACAGCGGAAACGGCTGGTTTCGTTCTCTGGTAGGTGGAATAGCTTGGTACCTCCTTTGTGAATGTGATTTTGCCTGGTCCCTGTGCACTAGAGAATCCATGAGCACCAGATCTCTGCCAAGAGGAACTACGGTAGCTGTAAAAGGAAAGGAATTTAACAATATATTTTTTTTAAGAAACACGTATTTTCTTTTTACATTTTAATATAAATTATTAGACCCAGATGTTCAAATTTCCTAAAATTACGCTTATTTATTGGAGTTTAGCTACTGTAAGTCTAAAAACTTACAGTATTTGAAATGTTTGAGATAAATATAAGCATATACAATATGATTTTATTCTTGAAATTTACGTGGGAAGGAATATTTCAGGAGGTTATATTTATATGCACTTGATATATATATATATACCAACGTTTATCATACACTTTTCACACTTTTCCTTCTTGGACATTATTTTTTACATTAATTTTCTGTATGAAGAAGGTTCATTTGATAAAATATATTCATTTTATTTTGTTTTATCTTTTATTTGTCATATTAGTTATTTCGCACCTTTTATACATAGCTTATTTAATCATATTTGAAAAAAGTTATAATCACTTTGTTTTAATTTTTATTTTCGACTATTGATATTAATATTTTTTATGTGAGTGTAATTTTTACTTATATACCTCAGATGGCCGTTAATAACACAACAAAATTTTTGCTCGGATATATGAGACGTGTTCCTGGATGTAAAAAATGAAGAGCAATGCGTGCATAATTTTAACAATTTAATTAATATTTAATGATAGCTCTATGCGCTCTATGTTTATTTATTTTGGAATTGCGTATATTACACGTGATATTATTAGGTATCAATTAGTGCAGATGTATTGCTATATCAATTGTTTTGTAAACTTCATTCTCCAAACCTTATCTAAATTAATTATTCCTTATAGATATAATGGAACATTATGTGATAATATTGAATATTAACAGTGAAAAATTAAATTAATCAGCTTTAAGCATAGCTACTTATAAATTTACTCATTTGATATTAAGTTCCTTTTCTTTATCTCTATAATTTGAACAATGATATATGGATTACTCTACAGCCTGTAATAATTTTTTGGTCTTGATTTTTCCTTATTAGAACATTTTATTCTCATAAATATGCCCCCTTGGAGCGTTACCACTGAAAACGCTGAAAGTTTTATGGGGATGTTTGTTTCAGTTTTGTAATCTAAATTTTTGAACATCTGGCTTTATGAATAGGATGTGAATGGATTTCATTTCAGATATTTCTTATAGCTTTTGCATAAATTTTTATCTTTAATGGGAACATTACCTGGCTGGCTGATAACGCTTAGGTTGGCTGACATAAGCTCCTCCGTAAGAACTATGATGTGTCAGTCCACTTCCTCCTAATCCATATATAGCTTTGCCGCTCTGTCCATAAGCTTGGTGACCGTATGAAGAGCCATAGAGTCCACTGCCGTATCCAGTTCCGTAGAGTGCGCTGCTATGATCTGATCCATAACCACCAGAAATGTATTCAGCATGTGCGGGAGCAGTGTAGGTTGATTGTCCGTATATGGCCTTGCCTCCAGATTTCCAACCACTTTGTCCGTAACCCTGATGTCCATATGAAGAACCATAAAGGGCGCTTCCATATCCTAAACCTCCCAAACTGTATGTACCGTGGGATGGAACATAATCGGAATGCCCGGAAGTATAAGAATAAGTAGTTGGAGCATGGCTGTAATATTTGTCATAGCTTCCATAATTGGTAGCGGTGGCCGCAACGGCAAAAAGAAGTACAACCTAAGGAAAAAATTAAAATTCACCTTTTTCCGTCTCTCTTACTTACGTATTTATATAAACAACAATAAAGCCATTGTAGTTACGATAATTTATAATGCAACGAGGTAGTTATAGTGTGTCATCAATATAGAGCGTTGACGATACTACCCGTAGTGACCTTAACTAAAATTATGTTTATTATTATAATATTTTTTAAAAAATAGAAAAGCCTTTCAATTCATGCTTTATTTATATGACAGTAATAGCATTTTCCTGAAAGTTCCATTTTTATATCAATTATATGTCACTATTATAATAGTATTCATTTATTGTTATATTATTATATGTCGCTATTTTATAGTAACGCTAGCCTTAATTTTCAAAATAAAGCTAAATTTTAATGCTCTGATTTCAGCATACAATTTTTAGTGCTTGGAATTTTTATACTTTATATATTCAAAAAAGAAATTATATCAATTATATCTCAATAACACTAGCATAATATTTTTGACTATTTAGAGCTTGAAAACCTATACGTTTATTCCATATATCTTAGGCTAATCAAAAACTATTTTTGATAATGTTGTATAATTGTAAATTCCCTCAAAGCGGACAGCCGGAAACGCCAATGTGCCCCGACGCTTTCTTTGTCTAGCTTGTGTCTTTTGCATTGAGAAGCCTTGGCTAATGCTCAATGAGATTTCATTAGTTTCTTTTTTAAAGTGTAAATGCTTTTGTTACTTACTTTAAAAAAAAAAAAAAATATGCCTGCTAAAAGCCACCCGGGCGTAGGACTGATAGTATCAAATTATCTAATAAGTAAGTTTGAGATGTTTTATATATTAACAGCTTATGAGGCCTGATTATTCATCTGCAGGAAATTTTAATCAAAGAACAGTTTGCTTCTTTGATGTACGATTTAACACTGACAGTGTAGCTGAGCCACGACATACTGATAGCTCTCTCACGTTCGGTAAAACAGGATAACTGAAGCGATATTTAGGGATGTTTCTCATATTTAACGGCCAGTTTCCTTTAGAAATTCTTCCGCAAAAGCATAAATGATTTTAAGTCTTCTTTGGATATAATTGCATTAGATCTCCGTGTACTTTGAATACAAGTAATTTATTGACGTCGCTTCGATAAAATTTGTAGAGAGAAAAGTATATGGAACTTCTCCATCAATAACACGTGTATCTTTGATTCAATATAAAGTCTGTGTTGAGGCCAAGAACGGCTTAGAAATTAAGGCATTAAACAATTATACGTTAGCCTATATGTGTCTGAATATCCTTCATCTCTACTAATTACTGAAATGATACCATGTATTTAGAAATAGACGAATTTATAAGCATTAACTGAACTATTGCCTTTTAATCCAGTTATGAACCTAAACATACTAACTTTTAGTATTTTTGCAGTTTCATTTTAGGAACTTTTGGTAATTACAGTACTCATAATACAAACTGAATTACATTATTAAAAGAAAATGTTGAGTTAAAATTATGATTATTAAAAAAAGTTATCATATTACAAAACTGCTTACAGCTATATTCCTCTTCTCATCAACTACTACTGCAGAATTTGTTTTTATCATATAATAAAACAATTGTTTTACCCAACAGAATTAATAATATTAGCCTCGTAATGTCTGGAGAAGTTACTAAGACTGAAAAAGTATTGCGAAGCATTCAGCAAATTTGACTGAATGAATCCCCCTCCCCCGGGCCGAAAAACAAAAGACGAACTCGCAGGAATGTTTTATCCTCCCAAAAGGAAAGAAAGAGTGTGGAAGCAAGGGGCAGCTTACTAACTGTACGCTTCTCTGCGGCAAATTTTGGACCTCGATTACCAATAGAAACATCAGCTACTAACAACAAAATTACCTCTAGTACTCCTGAGTCTTCATGCAATAATAAATTTAAGATCAGCGCATCTCAATGCAAAGACTTCTTAAAATAAAAGTAAATCTATCTTTTCTTCAAAAACTTTTATGATAAAAGAATATTCTTTCTTTATTGTTACTCTGCATTAATAGAGAATTAGTGACTCTATATTGTAATTAAATATGTTCGAAATATGAAAAGAAACTGAATTGTTTTGAGAGGCAAAATTTAAATTACTCGTATAAATTGTACAATACAAGATAGGTAATTTAAGCTAGCTTCTAAACTTAAATATCTAAAGAGGAAACATCACACATGTTAAAAATGCAAGTCCAGCCTTGGCGGAGCACCTTACGATTTTAATTTTTAGAAATGCTTCATGGTATAGATAAATGGTATTTTCTCCCTTCTTTCCGCGTGCCTCTGTGGTGTAACTGGAAGCATACCCGACGCATAGTTGGGAAGTCCAGCGTTCGAATCCCAGGGAGGGCCCTGCATATTTTCCCCATCTCCCGCTTAAAAAAAAGAATAATAACTCTATTTTGAAAAGTATATGAGTAGTTTCTTTATTATAGTAGCCCTATGATTATGTCAAAAATTCTATCTTTTTAATGAAACGTGTTAGAATGAGATCAAATAAAACAAAAGTATATTTTTAAAAGAATTTTCAAAATGCAGTATTATCCTAGATACTGTCTCCATTCTGAAATTTATTTTAAAAAGTTTGTCAATAAAAAAGTTTAGGATTGTAACAGTCAAAAGTAATCTTTCAATCCTAATTATACATGCATTGAACAAAAATTAAAAGACTTCTCTAATGCTACTCTCATGTCTTTTATACTAGGACATTCGATTACCAAAATTAACACTTAGAAGTAAACAGCAATAAAATTATAAAATATGCTATTTTACTGTGGGATTTAATAGCATTGACAACTACAAATTTGAACAGGGTATAGTATTTCAAAACTATTATTTTTATTCACAATACAATTGCAAAATTTCTTCTCAAAATTTAAGCAATAAGATTTCAAATATTATAATTTTAATAGTTACTACACTAGTTTTGTAATAGAATCCTGTTAGTGATAATAACCAATAAGAAGTGTAAAATATTCTAAAATTAGCAGTTTATAATTTAGAATACAAATTTTAAAGTCCTCATTCACATTTCAAATTACAAAAACTATTATTACTGGAATTAATAATTGATATTATTATTGGAATTATCAATATTTTTATTAGGGAAAATGCAGTTAATTGCTATTAAAAATTAATTAAAAATTTTGATAATAATTAGCTGCATTTTTCGAATGATATAATTGTTTGTTATTGAATGAAAGCCTTCCCTTAGGTCTCTATGGAACAACAAATTTAATAGTAAAAATTTTGAATCTTAGAAAAACAAAAAATATTAATTTTTTCTACTATCTATTAGATTATTTTAATCTATTAGATTGCAATCATGAAAGTTAGCTTTCCTTTGAATTGTCGTTTTAACACTTTATAATTAAATCATACCTCTTTTTAAACCTTACCTTAGGTTCTAATTTGGACGAACTTAATTAAATCAATCAATAATTCTCGATCATTCTCACACCAGAAATGTATTGCTAACTTGTTTACTTTTAACAAATCTTTGCAAGCTGTCATTTACAAGTTATCACTCTTGGTTACAAGTTAGCCTATTTCTAACAAAAAGACCTTCTGATTTTAGGTTAATTTATTTTGAAGAAGATCTGATAGTTACTTGACATTGTCATAGCAATTTTGAAATCTTCTGGCACAGTTAGTATCAAGAAATTTTAGGTTCTCGAAATCTTATGCATACGTTATCAGCATTTAGTTCTTGAATGTTTTTAAGTCCAATATTTTAAGACAAGCTTTTGAGGAGGAAAAAATTAATTTGAACAGATATTTTCCCATTAATTAAATGAAGTTAATCCTGGAAAAACTTATGAACTTAGAAAATTTTAAATCTATTCTATATATTTTTTAATTACATATTTTAATATATATTTGAATTGTAAACATATAATAACACTTACGATATTTTTTCAAACAGTCTGAAAATTTACTTATAAAATCTTTTAACATGGGAAGGAATTTTCTTATGTTAATTGTTTTAAGAATTTTTATTAACTGATATGTTCTTCTAATTAAATTTATTCAGAACGTTTCAATAACTCAAATTTAGGGATAACTATTATAAATGCAGGAAAATAATGTTCATATAAAGATATATTGAAATTCTAAATTTTTCAATTAAAATAGACATCTAATTATATTTGCAGTTTTTAAAATATTGAAGTAAGAAAATTATTTCTCCTGTACTGAAGTTTTCTCAGCTTTCATAGATTATTTATCTTATTAACTTGCACAAAGTTTGAATGTTATTATGCAAAAATAAAAAAAATAATAAATCCCTTTAAAAATGCTTTATTTTTAAACAGACTGATTTGTGATATGTACGAGTAGTTTAGTTTTTTGTCAAAAAAATCCGTGAAGAAAGAACCAAACAAATAAATTGTTCTACTGTTGAATAAAAAGATTTTATCAAGATCTCTGAGGAGATTTCCTAACAAGTAAATTTTATATAATAGGTTATATGAATGATTTAAAATTTTTAGAACATAATGCATTTTTTAAAAACCTATTTTCCTCTTACAGTGCATTTCATCTTAAACTTCACAGTGGTATTTAAGACATAATGTTGACTGAATGTTGCAAAATAATAATAATTTAATTATTTCTATAAATTCATTTACTTTTAAAGTGAGTAGTTCATGCATTATTGTATGAACTACTCACTTTAAAAGTAAATGAATTTATTTCCATCATTAATAATATACGGAATAGTTTTATGTATAGAATTTCGGAACAATGCTTTAAAATTTTGTCTTGAGTTTGGATTAAAAAATAATATCTTTACAATAAATTACCGAAAAATTTTAAATGTGGTTTGCATGTATGTAGTATGTTATCTACTGAGAAAATTTTGAAATATAAAACTAACAGAACAAATTTTATTTTGCTAATGTTTAGAAAATGGAATAGCCAAAACACTAAATGTATGTTTTAAAAATAATGGCTTTCGATTTAGTTTAATTATATTCGTATGAGGTTTGTAAGAAAATATTTAGAAAGTTACCATCTGTTCAATGAAATAAAAACGTAATAAGCTTTTGATAGAAAGTTATTATCTGATGTTTTTGAATGTTCCGAATAAGTTTTCAACTATACGGTCAAACTTATGACGTATTTTTATTATTTAAACAAACTCTTTATGCCTATTACAATGTCTGAAAAGGAAGTTTTGCTCCTGAAAAACCGCTTTTCTTTGTAACCTGAATATTTGATTCTGGTTATAGCCTTAATAGTAGAATGGTTTTACTCAAATGATAAAAAAACTTTATTTACGCGAAAGAAAGATATGTTTTCTTAAATACGTTTAATGAACTTCCTTTTATGATTTTGCTGCCCAAAAAATATACCAACGCTATATATAAGTAAATATTTTATCTTTTTACTTTACGATGGCCGCTTCTGTTTAATGTGTGCGGCCGCTTCTGTTTAATGTTCTGTTAATTCAATGCTGTGCGAAACCTAATATAAACATGACCAGCTGCTGAATATCATAAAAATTAGTTGAATTAAAATATTAGACGTTCATAAGTTAGGTAGGAAACGCAGAGATCTGTGCATTATTAATTTTTTAAAAATAATTTGTATTTTTTAATTTAAGATTTTTTTACTTTGAAATTATTAATTTAAATAATAAAACTGTTCGAAGGAAAAAATTAGGCAAAATAAAAAAAAATCTGCTATCTTTTTTTACTTATCTCGCTAAAAACAGCATAATTTTGCAAGCAAACAGTATAAAAGCAGTATAAAAGTTAGTAAATTATAAGCTGTGTATTTTCCAACGAATGCAGTCATATAATTGAAAGAAAAAGTGAGACCAAAAATCGTATTCGTAAAGAAACAATAAAGTCGATCTTACCAAGAATTTCATGTTGGAGACTGGACAGGATCTTTACTAGCCACGCTGCAAAGTGGATAGTAAATTCGGAAATACATATCAGCTCATTATATAGGACTTAGGTTCGAAATGTCCTTGAGTTGGACACATTCAGTCCCACTCTAAAATCTGTCAGTAACACTTTTTTTTTTTTTTTTTTTTACCATTTACCTCCTTTATTTTATTAAATCACCAGTAGCCTGCCATAAATAACAAAAAAGAAAAAATATAATCAAAGCTTAAGCAGCCGGAGGTGAAATCACCTGACTAGGTTATGACAAATTTTTCCAAGCATGCATTAAATGTAAGGGGCCACTATGATTCATTAATTCGGTATGACTATGATAATTTTATTTTTCTGATTAATCTTTATGAAATCTGGCATCCACTGTTATCTCACAACTCGTTTGTTCTGTTTCTCTTCCCCCTACTTTTTCCCCAACCGTATAACAAATCGCTACTTTAAGTTACTGATTACCGAAAGAGTAGACTTGACCTTGTCCGAGAATGTAAATTTTTTTTATCCTGTCTAAATCAAGAGTCATATTTTCCAAGCAACGTTTCTTGAAAGTAAAGAATCGTGTCCAGAAACGGTAAGTGAATCTTTTTTGCTAAGGATTCAAATTCTTGCCACATATGTGGAGAAGCAGCATCGAAATACATGTTCGAGACCTTGAAGAGTACAAAGGAAAGTTCGACGGGTACGCAGCAGCGAATTACGACATTATATAATCAGTTAAATCCTTTTAACGCTTCATACATGCTTTTAAGGCTACTGCATTATTTTAAACTACACATAGCAGTTGCTTGTTCTGTTAGAGCATAATACTCGCAGGTTAAGTTACTTATCGCAGTAAAGCGAAATAGTCAAAATAAGATAGTTTAGTTCCAAATATTTCTTTTTAAGCTATACATTTTTTTCTGAAAGCAATATTCCAACAAGCAGCCAATAGGTGAAATCCCAAAGCACTGGTAGTTCGGTCCGAGTTTCAAATGCCGGCTGCATGGCCGTTTTCGTGGTTTTCCCCAAATGTAGCATATATATGAATCAGTTTCCATTTGAAAGTCCTCCGCGAAAGTATCCCTCCTCTTAGATCCTCGAGTGCTTTGCCGTGATTAAACAAACCAAATTAACAAAAGAGAACTGCTTCCGCTTTCGTTTCCTGATATTCCGTTTTACGAAATACTTATATAAAAAGAGTTAAAATCATATTTCTTAGACACAGTAGTGTAATAATGAATAGGATAATAAACTTATTTTAGTCAATAAAAATGTAAGGTTTGCGAAATTTTGCTGCTTGGATTTATATTAAAAAGAAGTCTAACAGATATGAAACAATAATACAAGTAAAACGATTGTTCATTTTATTGCGGGTGAAAAAGAGACAAAATCACTAAGCTGTTACGAAATAAGTGAAAAAACTTCGCGGACCCCAGGGATTTATACAAATAAATTTCACGAATAATTTTACGTTAGAGGATTTATATTAGCATTTTGGGAAGGGGACCACGCAATAGTAACATAAACAATCAGTACATAAATAAATAAGAGTTATATTGCGTAATTTTTAATTAAAACTGACATTTACAAACCCATCAAATTCTGCAAATTCAATACAGTTATTATTAGTATTCAATACAGTTATTTCAAAGCAAAATTACTACTTAATTAAATATAAAATTAATATTATATTTTGAATGCAAATATTAAGGGAAAAGTAAATTAAAAAGGGATCGATATGCGTCGAAACTGGTTATCGGAAACGACAAGAGACAGAAGAAGGTCTTTTTATAACTTTAAGAAGCGACTTTTCTCACATTCCAGAAATCCAGAAAAATCTTAATATAATTCAGAACTCTGGTTTGTATATTGAAATAGAATTAAACTGCAGTGCATGTTTTCTGGAATTTCTAACTTAAAACAGTAAAAAACGTGTTTAAATATAAAAATTATTCTAACAGTTTTGAGAAAAATTTAAAAAAAAAAAAAGTAGGAAACCAGAAACTTCAGGATTTATTCGGCAATCATCAAATGTGATGTACGCGAAATCTTAGAAAAATCCCGTAAACTTCGCAAATATAAATTAGCACTGGGATAGAATTTCTTCCCTATAAATATCTAAAATGAAATCAATAAACATTTCGTTATATTATGCATTACTAAAACTGGCATTATTTCATTATATTATAAATTATTAAAACATGACTTAATTCCCTTGCATGAAAGAAAAATGCTTATGTAGGAGGACGGTTTTTCCATGTATCGAATTTTATATACATAGACATTCTGCTTCATCAACCTGTCTGTAGTACAATAAAGCTTTTTACTTTCTTGTAAGAAGTAAAGGAAGTACTGTAATCATGAAAATTTCAGGTAACATATTTTCAACGGAAATATCCATTTTGACCATTACCGAATCCAACTGAACGAGGTGGTTTTTTTTTTTTTTTTTTTTTTTTTTTTTTTTATGATATCCTTGACGAACAGAATTTTTTTTCCAAAGCGTGTTGTAGCGTGGATTTAAAATGGATTCAACAGGTATTTTCCCGTGACGTACTTATGTATGTATATCGCATAACTAAAAAAAGATTAATTGTAGAACATTGAAATTTTGTGTATGGTACTGCTGTAACATCTAGCTGTGCACTTTCCATTTTTTATTGCAATGGACAGTATCAAACGTATATCCACTCCCTTACTCGGCTTAAAAGTCCTTACCTTACCTTAATTTTTGCAATCGTTTGTCATAGCCATATACTTCCAATTATAGAAATGTAATCCAAGTATAGAAAAGTAAGGAATCCAATTATAGAAAAGTGAGGAAAATTTTCATGTGTAAAAGTTACAGCATATGAAGTTCATCTGTGGTGTTTTTTTATTTGTCAGCCAAAACTTCAGTAAATAATATTGAAAATCGTACAGATTATTTAATATTAGAATGCATACACATGATTTTATATTTCAGATAAACAAACTTAAATAACATTTTAAAATTACTTTATTTATTTTCACATTAAAATTACGAGTTTATTACTATGGCGATATATAACTTCGAATATCTGTTTGCTTATAAGACTACCATAATTTACAAAATTCGCTTTTTATTCAATGAAGCTCCGTAACTTCGAGTAAGGACATAGACAAACATTTCTCTTAATCTTAAGAAATCTTACGAAAGCCTGCAGTTTTTCGTGAGCTTTCTTCCATGTAACTCTCTTGTTTTGCCTACCATCTTCATCCTGACCTTCATTCTCATCTTTCGCTTCCTTCTCTACCTGATATCCATCCGAACCTGTATCTCCTAATTCTCTAGCACTGATCTCTAACAGTGATCGATCATATAACTAAACCTAAGATACAGAATAGGGGCACCGGACTTGTTTTAAAACCAAACGAATCTGTATTATTCGATTCGTCATCTACGATAATGATCACAGGCCATAATTTACACCAACAACAATGTAAAGTAATCTTCATTTCAATTTCGCAGAAAAGAACAACGTAAATATGCGTCTGCCAACACGAAAGGTTTTTTTATACACTACTTTTAAATTTCATACATCGATGCATCAAAAGGAATCGGTAGATCACCTTTATATTCTGAGTAATTCCTTTGCTTTATAAGGCTTGTTATGCTGGGCAACAGAAAACAAGCGCTAATATTTTCCACATTTACGGTCTTCAAATTATCAGTCATTGCATATTGTTGCGTGCGTACGGGTTCGTTATGAAATGAATTCACAAGTCCGATGAAAAATGAACAAAAATTTATTATTATCACAACAAAAATGCTTACATTCTCTCAAATTATCATGCAGTATTACAATATCTCACAGTAGTTATCTTTTAACTACTCAAATGTCCAATAGAACGTAATTTCAAAACAGCTAAAGAAAGCTAATCCGCGAATTCGCTACAATCAACAAAAGCAGTTTTCTAAACAACAACAAAAGCAGATTTCTAAACAACAACAAACTAAGCAACTAATACGAACTGAGATGTTTTCCTCCTTTTATAAGATTTTAAAATCACGCGCTAGAATTTTCTAGTACTTTCTCGAAATCAAAAAGACATATTTATTTATTTAATGTTAAATGCACGTGCTCTTGTATTTTTAATTTTCCAGCTTAGCTTTCTTCTCTTAATATTCGTCACGCGCTGCACTGTGCGGGAAATAAAACCATTTAATTTATAATTGAACTAACATTAGCTTTTTAAATACCAAATTCGTAACAATATTTTTATCTCATAGTCCTAAATTCTAGATTTCAATTTAGAACGTTATTTTGATGTTGCCAGTTAATTGGATTACGAGGGATATTACTGTATTTCAAAATATGATATCAGCTTTAAACTTATCTAGTAGGACACTAACAAACAATTAATCTAATAATTAATACCTAAAATAACAATTCAAGATTAATATTAAAGCTATTTACGCAATTTTAAAATTTAATTTTTATTTATTATATTAAAAATTAATTACACTCCTGATGAAATTTTAAACTTTTACAAAGAATAATCTATCCGTGTTGGTTTCGTTGTTCATAAATAATTTTTAAGTTGTATTCTCAAGTTTGTAAAACAGCTGTTAACTTTTTCGATCACCACTTTTCACTTCGAAAGTTTTAAACTTTGCACTGCTTTTCTTGATTCGATTGAAACTGGCATGTTCACTTTCCTCTATATCTCTTTTACTGTCATTTTCACTCTCTGTAGCTCATATGATATCGTAATTTCCAATGCTATCGTAATCAGTTTTTTCCACATGTTGTCTCAAGGTTACTGCCATTTGCAACGTTTTCTAGGAGTGAATCTTCATAACCTCTTTGAATGAAGTCCAGAATTTCGGCCACGAACTGAAATTCCTCTGAGGCATTATAAAGTATTTTCTCCCTCCTTTCCTCAGACCTTCTTGGTGATTGGAAGCATTTTCGATGCGTATTAGCGCGGTCCAGGCTTGGAGTCCCGGCGAAGGCATTTTACATTTTTCATAGCTCCTGATTTAAAACAACCTAATGAATCTATAATTTGCCTGAATAAAGAACAATTTTTTTTAAAAAATTTTAATTATGTTTAGAGAGACTGCTCTTTGTGCATTAATTATAATATGCATAGCATCCAAAAAAGATAT